GAGAATTAACAAAATCCTAAATAGCAAGTGGCTTAAGGGGGAAAAAACAATCATAGAAATAATTAATAACAATGTGAAAGAACACAAAAATGATGAGACAACATATCAAAAGTTCTGAGCTTCAGCTAAAGTAGTCTTCAGAAGAAAAAACTATATCCCTCAATTAAAAAAATCAATAAACTTAAAAAAACAAAAATAAGGGGGGAAACAAACAAGGTAACACCACAACACTCCACTTATTTTTAATTTCATCCCAATTTGTTGGCTACAAGTTTATCAATTTAGTTAGTCTTTTCAGAGGACTAGCTTTTAATTCTGATTATCAGCTCTATGGTTTCTATAGTTTCCAATTTATCTATTTCTCCTTTAATATTAAAATTTTCTACTTTCCCCTTGTGCCTTCCAAAGGCCCTCCTAGAATTTAAGCAACTGAGCCAGACATAATAGTCAACATAGAGATAATAGGAAAAGGAAGAAAGAAAAATAGGACTTTTTTTACTCAAACATTTCTGTTAACTTTAATTTTACTGCAACCATAGAGAGTCTGGGGATAGGTAGACACAAACATAAATTTAAATTAAAGCAGAGAACCAAGTTTCTGTCTACATATTAGGAATTTTTCTAACCAAGGTCTATCTGATTATATTCCTAACTTTTCATTTAATAAAAACCCCCTGAAGCAGCAAAGTAGTGAACTATGTGATTTTTAGGGGCCATTATATTGTCCCTAAGGCTAAAAATGAGCTAAATGTTGTCACAGCATATGGTTGATTAAATTTCCAGAAACAAAGGGCGCAGAGAGGAAAGGGTGGTAATGATTATTTATTGCTGGTGGTTACCAGCACCACAGCACCATGAGTGTTGGGGGGAAGGGAAAGGAACAAGAATTTATATAGCACTTGTTATGTTACAGACAGGCATTGTGCTAAGTACTTTTATAAATCTGATTTGATCCTTACAACAATCCTACGAAGTAGATGCTATTATTATCTCCCCGTTTTACAGTTGATGAAGCTGAAGCAAAAAGAAGTTAAATGATTTGACCAGGGTAGCACAGCTAAAAAGTGTCTGAGAACAGATCTGAACTCAGGTCTTCCTGACTCCAGGCTCAGCACTCTATGCACTAGTTCATGATGACACGATGGTTTACTTAAAAAAGTTCTAGGAATCAATGAAGAAACTAAATAAGACAATAACTTTAACAAAGATTTAGGCTACAAAGATAAACTCACAAAAGTAAATGATATTTCTATATAGCAATAACAAAATTCAGGACAAAATAATAAAAAGGAATTCCAATCATATTAGCCCCAAAATGCATAAAATATCTAGGAGTGAATTTACCAAATCATTCTCAATAGCTGTGTAGACATAATTACAACTTACTTCTTAAAGAAATAGAGAACAACCTAACTCAAGGTTGTAGATGGGCCCAGTTTAACCTAGCTTATAGATGAGCCACGTTAATATAAGAAAAATGAAAATACTTCTGAAGTTAATTTGCAGACTTGATGCTATGCCTATAAAACTACCAAAGGTCTACCAAAAGCCCTACTTTGTAGGGCTTTTATAATAATGCAATTCATTTGGAACAATAAAAAATCTAGACTATCTGGGGAAATAATTAGGGGGAAAGTACAAATAAAGGAGGAATAGCACTTCCAGACAACAAAATATATTATAAAGCAGTAATAATCTATCTACTTTATACTGGTTAAAAAATGTAAAAAGCAGATCTCTGGAATAGACTAGCAAAGAAAAATCAAATGTAATTGAACATAAAAACTCAATGTTCAGTAAATACAAAAAACATTAATTACCTAAGAAAGAACTCCTTATTTGACAAGAATTGCTGAGGAAAATGGAAAACAGTCTGACAAAAATTAAATTTATGATATCTTATACCATATTCCATAATAAATCAAAATGTATAGTGAGCTTGAATATTAAAGACTATAACATTAAAGAAATTAGAAGAGGAGTTGATATTGCCTTTTGCAGCTACTGATGAGGAAGAGGTGAATTCTTAACCAAAGAATGGATAGAGGTGATTACAAAACATAAAATAGATAATTTCAATTACACAAAATTGAAAAACATTGGTCTTAACAAAATTAAGGCAACTAGAATAAGAAGGCAAATGGTCAACTGGGGAAAATTCTTTATATTAGATATTTCTGAGAAAAATGTAATAGATACATACACAAGATATGTAATGATACATAGACAATTGACAAAGGCTGACTGCTTCAGCCGCCACAAATTGGGTAACATGGGGGTTCCGTGCATGGATCTATAGTAGAATAGATCAGGCAGAACCATGTCTTATTTTTCCTTATATCCTCTGTCTGTACTATGCATTTGCATGTAGGTGCTGCATAACTCTTTTCTAATATAATAAATCTTACATGATCATAATTTGTATTACCTCTCATTTTAGATATTAACATTAATTTGGAACTTGTTCAAGATCATAATCCTCTCAGAATTTTTTTCTTATGTCTTTTTGCCCATTTTTGGCCCACTATTATCTCTTATTTTTAAAGGAAACCTTAATACAGAATATAGTTAAGTTTGAATGTAAGTTAAAGGGAAAACAAGTATTTGAGCTCTGGAAGTGTTTTAAAAAGTAAAACAGTATAGTGCCACCAGATGTCACTGTTAGCATGTGGTAATGGAGTTAATGTTAAATTTAAAAAAAAAAAAGAAAGAAAAAATGTCCTTCCTATCACATTAAAAAAAAAAGCTCATTTGTACACATCCGTTGAATACCTCCAACACATATACGTTGTCAAATCTCTACTTTGAGGCAATATGACCTTTTAAAATAATTTCTGGCACTATAATTCCAAACTATAGTCCTTTTAAGCTAAACACACTGCCTAAAAGATGTTTGAATAGGTAAGGACAGTCAAGTGGACAAGTTGACTGAAGGATAGTGGAGAGTAGCTTTTCATTTGTGGTCAGACAGAAGTTTTTTGGGGGTAAGCTCCAAGTCCCATAGAGAAGAGATGCCTTTGTATGTGGAAGGCTCATATGTTAGGACTAGAGAACTTGACTACCCCTCCGCCACAACTGACTGGGTCCTTAGGTGGAATGGGGGAGGAGGTGTCTCTTTTTGTCAAAATTAGACTCCACATTGGTTGAGAAATTCCATCAGGCCTCTTTGATGAAGATCTGATTTTTTTTTTTAAATCTCTGGATGAAGCAGTAGAGCTGGTTCTGTAAAAATGACAGTGTAGATGGTTTGTATTTGATGTCCTTTAACCTCCTGATACCCTCCCCTGCCCAGGCACCTGATACCTTTTTGCGGCCCTCTGACTAATTAAAGCTTCTATGATGTAATATTCTACCAATGGTTTCTCTCTCAAGCAATTTCCTGTGCTCCGAAGTCCCCACTCTCTCTCCTGTTCCTATTCCTAGCTCACAGGGCCTGGCGCATAGAAGGCTTTACCTTAACTAAATGCTTGTTGGCTAATGAGCTGCTGATCTGCATCAGCTGGAGGAATTTCCACACCGGGAGTACTCTAACTGAAAAAAGTTAAAGGTTCAACCAAAACAACAACAAAAACAACATCCAGTCTTCGGTCTGTCCAAATGTTATCCTTCACCCTTATTACATGATCACCACATTGGCTTTTCTGGATATGTTTGTCTCCGTTGATATTTCTATGCCACTTTTTGCACAAACTGTTTTTGGTGATTCGCCTCAGCCTGCTTTTAACCACCAAGCACCTTCCGCCTACGCTCACCAAGTTTTGATTCGATCATTCAATGGTAACAACCTTCTTGAAAATTTGGGGGGCAGAAATTCTGCCTCCTCAGGAGGGGAGAATGACCTGTACCCATACAGTTTTCTGGGATTTTGAGTTTTTGCTTATCTCCTGAGTGAAGGAAATATCACAGTATGGGGATACAGGTGGGGCTTGAAGGAGCCCATGGGAAAGAGTAAGGAATCTAAGAGGGAAGCAGAAGTAATTGCTTCCCTTCCTCAGAAGCAGGGGCAGCTGGGAGGGGAGTGTACATAGAAAGAGTGTGAGAGTAATTTGTAACAGCGTCAGTGCCAAGGGTAGTGACTGAGATGCAGTTTCCCCAAATGGAAGCCAAAGGGTCAAGCAGCAAGGTATAATCTTGGCTGCTCACCTTTGTGGCTGGAGTTCTAGTAAAAAGCATCTGTGTTCTGGGGAATGTGGAGGGAATTGACGGTCTTTATTCATCAGATCCTTGTCCTGCTTCAGCTGGGCATTACTGGTGCCTGTTCATTTACTCTATGTTGCATTTTTTTTAACTCACCTCGTTTTTTCCTTCCCATAAATATCTCTGATTGCCACAGACATGCATTTCCTTGCAACTCTTAGGATTCGAAAAAGGAATTTCTTTTATATACTAGTCGGGGGAAAAAAGAGAGTCTTGCTTACCTTTCTGTTTGCTCCCCAGCCATTACCTTTGGACCCTGACTACCACACACACATGCATGCGTACATACATACATAAACGCACATATATACACATGCATAGAGTGAAAAAGAGGCACCCTGGTGCTGATATAATCAGTCAATAAGCATTTATTTAGTGCTTACTATGTACCAGGCACTGCTCTAGGCACAAAGAATGCAAGGAAAATGCAAAGAAAAAAATAAACTAGTCCCTTGACTTCAAGGAACTACTGGGGATTCCACAGGCAGACAAATAAGTAGATAAAAAAATCTGCAATATAAAATAATTTCAAGAGGGCAAATGCGCTAAAAACTGGGGATGATTCTTTTGAGGTCATAAGTGCTCCACGGAATAGCAGTAACTCCCCTAAGCCACTAGCCTTGCCTCAAACCCAGCCACCCAGAACCATCATCCAGAGGAGCAGCCCGTTTGGAGGAGGGACCCACCATCCCTGGCCACCACTAACACCAATGGCCAGCCAGCTAAGTGCCACTGGTAAGGAAGTAAACCCAAGATATTAGGACCAACAGATGCTGACAACTGACAGCTCCCACCTCCTAGCTACTGAAGACCGGGAAAAAGTACTCACACCAAACTCCTTGCCACTGTAGAATTCTTCAACATCATAAATAGATAGGTTTAATTAATGGAAAAGAAATTAAAGAAGATCTAACACCATCCTCCTTGTTACTATACTCTAAGGAACCCTAGACCTTGTAACTGCAACCTCTGATGTATGCTATTTTTCTTATTAGAATGTGGGCTCCTCTGGAGGAAAGGACCGTTTCGTTTTGTTTTTTCTCTTTATATCTGCCAGTGTTTATCACAGTGGGTTTTTTCCAAATATTTTATTTTTTCCAGTTAACATGTAAAAAATTTTTAACATTTGTTTTGAAAAATTTTGAGTTCTAAATTGTCTCCCTCCCTCCTCATTGAGAAGGCAAGCAGTTTGTATAGATTATACATATGCATACATATATATATTATATATATATACATATAGTGTAGTGTTTTGATAGGTGCTTAAGAAATGTTTCTATTCATTCCTTTATTCTATGAGTCACTACCATGACTAGGAAAATATCCCATGTTAAGAAGGGCTTTTGTGGCTATAGGCATTTTGTGATCACCAAAAAAAACTTTGAGTCTCCCAAATGCATCCTAACCTTTTTTCTTTTGTTTAGTATGAGCCTGCTTCATTGTTCCTCTGTTCCTTTCAAATGTATACTCAGTGGATTACCCATTGTCATAATCTGGGCCATATACATTCTCTGTGTAATTTTTTCCCTGAGTGAATGGTATTTTATTGCTTATTCTGCTTAATTGACTTGGCAGACTTTATTGTTTGGTTTGAGGTGTTTGATAGTGCTGCCTCTATACCTCCAGACCTCTTTAGTTTATGGCATTCTGTAGTGATATTCAAATGTAACTATTAGAATGTATCTCTTCACTACATTCAAGAGTTTGACTGCATCTAATTTTGCCTAAATTTGAAATAGTAATGAATTTTGTTCATATTGTCAGATTAACAATTATTTTTAAAACTAGCTTAATTTCTGAAAATTCATTACAGAATACTCTATGGAGTTCCTACTTCAAAAGCTAAGGACAAAAATGAAAATATTTCTCCAGAAACATCAACAACTTTAGTTAAATGGAAAAAACCAAATGAAAAACCATCTCTTCAACTCTCAGGAGAAGAAGTAAGAACTGCTTTTGATAACTTTATGTAATGCTTCATTTAACCCATTCGTGCCTTCTTACTTTGTAATTCTTATATTTTCCCATAGGTCCTCCCCTGAGGATTTGCTTAATGTGCCAGAGGCCTTCCTCTAAGATTTTTTATATTATGTGGGTCCCACTATTAGTACCCATCTGTCTTTTGAGATAATATTTGAAAAGTGTTTTGCAAACTTTAAAGTTCTATATAAATATTAGTTATTATTACTTCTACTGCTACTATGGCCAGCTCACCTCCTTTTCCAGTTATACATTTTCTGTGTAATATCCTGTATTCATTTTTTGTTGATAGGTCATTATCAAAAATGTTTGTGAGCCTACTTATATCCATTCCGTGTGTTTCCATTTCCCTTTGGGCCACATACAAATTAGATTCTTTACTTAGTGTGATGTTATATGATTTGTAGCCATACAGAAAAATTAGAAGAACATAGATATTTAAAAAGATGGAGTTTTGTTTTGGGAAGCATCTTGGGATCATTAAAAGTGCTTTGCATTTTCCCGAATGCAAGTTCTGGGCCCAGCTAGGATCTATCCTAGATATATCAACTTATGTGTAGTGTGGATATTACATGCTTTCCATCCATTTGTTTTTTCCTGTATGGATAATTAGGCCTCAGAATTATAGAATCACTATTTCAGAGTTGGAAAATACCTTAGTTACCCATCTAGTCAAACTCATACTCGAAAAATTAATTTCTTCTGCATCATGCCTAACAAGTATAAAACATTTTATATGAAACATTTCCAAAGAAAGGCAACCCTCTACTTTCTGAGACAGCTTATTCCACTTTTGGATAACTCTAATTAGAAAGCTTTTCCAAATATCAAGCCTAAATTTGCTCCTTTACCCACCATTCCTACATTTGTATTCTGGAGCCAAATAGAATAAATCCATTCCCTTTTCAATGGGACATCTCTTTAAATACCAGAAGATAGGTAAAATGTTGCCCTTAAGTTTTCTGTTCTCCAGTTTTGATATTGTATAGGAATAATCTATGATTGTACCTCATTTCCTTCAATCAGCCCCAAAGAACAGGAAGCCTCCAACCCTTGCCCTCCTCTGTATGCTTTCCAGCTAATCAATGCCCTTCTGGAAAGGTGATTCCCAGAATTGAATATACTATCTATGGCAGAAGACAGACAGCAGTACTCTTGTTCTTAGAAGCTACCCCTCTCTTAAGGCAGACTCAGATGGCATTATCTTTCTAGGTTGCCATATCACACTGTGGACTGATGTTGAGCTTGCAAATTCACTAAAACCCTCAGATCTTTCCCAGATAATTTACAGACTTTCTATATGTTTTATGTGTCACATAATCCTTAATCATCATGATCTTGAAGATCTTCATCTATGGAAGAACTACAAACTGATTTAGAACATTTCTTCTTCCAAATAATAGGAATTCACTGACTAGATTATATTTCACAAAGTAGGAAGGAAATTTGGTATTTATCTAGCAAATTTAATCTAAGTTGCTAGCCAAGCAGTATATCAGGTAAAACATTACCTTTGCTTGTCTCTTGATCCGATTAAGGTAGTTAAATGTCAGCTCTTCAATTAACTAAATACTGGATAGACAGAAGATGGGATCCATGGGAAGGTTTTTAGGGATCAGACAGATAGTATCTGTATGAGATAATTTAGGTATGCTCTTACCCAAAAACACAGAGATAGCCTGCATAAAGTTTTTTAGATTATGTCCTAGTTCATAATTTGTATTTTTTTGCTTTTGCCTGGAACCTTGTGTAATTGTAGCATACCAGGCAACACCACTGTTAGTACTCATTTGTTAAAGCAAGAATAATATATGTAGAACTAAATGGTCTGCTCTAAAAATTACTAAACTAATTTTTTTTAGTAGAAGAAACATTTCGGTGGGATGGACTGGATTTGCTTAATATTGGAAATATCTAATATTATTATTTATAAAAGCATTCTATAATACAGTGTCTTCCTTGACAAAAATCAACTATGGTTACTACCATTTATGAAAATTTTCTGTTCTGCCCAGAAATTGGAATTTTAAATGTTTTGCATTTAATATGCTTTTCTATGACAATGCAGGTACAACCATATGTTATATCTACATGATATCAAACATTCCAATGGAAATTTTAAAATTCAATCAAATATCCAAGAGTTTGTATATATTCACTGAACATATACAAACTCTTTGAAAATGTGTGGATTCTTCACCAAACACTTCAGTCTTCATCTAGATGTTAGATACTAATGTTCTTAATAATAATTATTAGATTATTATAGATTCAGATTAGATTATAGATTAGATAATTATAGATTAGATAATAATTAGATAATTGATGTTTTTTAGCTGGTTGATATTAGTGATTGAGAAGAGTTAATAGCAGACAGAAGTCAGGTGGCCCCTGTCCTTAACACAGAATGAAGGGGAATGGTTTCTCAAGGCAGGGGGAAAAGGAAGGGGAGAAGAGAGTGGAGTTCTTTTTTTTTAAGTTTAATATTTTATTTCCTCCCCAAAGAGAGTGGAGTTCTTACAGAATGGAAGAATAAACAATTGTAATCTCAACAGCAGTGAAGAGGGTAGAGGGTAGGGGAGGTCTACTATGGGGCAGAAGCTGCTACTCTGTGGTAACACCCTTGGACAGGTTGGGAACACCCTTTGTGTATAGAAATAAAATTCTGGGACAAAGGTGCAACAATGAACCATAGCCAGCTATTCTGAATTAAACTTCACCATTGCTCCTTAGGAGTAGGGTTTTTGTAGGAGTAGGGCCAAATGAGGGTTAGGTTGGATGTTAGTGAATATTATCCTATCATGCTTTGTTCTGGAAAAACCAGAATAATTATTCTAGCTAGACCCACTGAGACAGGGGCACAGCTTGGTGGAAGTTCCTGGTTTTGGGACTCTGTCCTTCTTGGTCCTTGTATCTGGGTGAATTTTAACTCCTTGGGATTTGTTTTCCATGGAGTTTGAAGCACATGGCATTTGGCTTGTTTACTTGTGAAAGCAAACTGGGGGTATACCCCGGCCTTCTTGGGTCACAGAGGGAACCAACCTACGGTGTGAAACCACCTACATGTCTATACCTGGCTCCTTGGAACTGATAAACTTAAGACCTTTGCAAACTGACCAGCAGAAATAAGTGAATGATACTTGGTGTTCTCACATAGGTTTGAGTCCTTAAAAAGGCTCTTTGGGGGGAGGTGGGGAGCAGAGTCAAGATGGCAGAGTGAAAGCAGGGACTCAACCTGAGCTCTCCCTCAAACCCCTTCAAATACCTTTAAAAAGTGACTCTGAACAAATTCTAGAGTGGCAGCACCCACAAAGAGACAGAGTGAGGCAGATTTCCAGCCCAAAGCAACCTGGAAGGTCGACAGGAAAGATCTGTTGTACCAGGCTGAGAGAGGAGCACAGTCTGACTCAAGCTACCAGCTCAGACCCAGCCCCAGCAAAGCCAGAGGGGGCCTTGGAGGGCTGAATCACTGGCAGCAGTGGCAGGTTTCCAGACTTCTCAACCCACAGACAGCAAAGACAACTTAGAAAGTCAGCAGGAGGGGGTCTGTTGGAACTGGGTGAGAGAAAGTGCAGTTCAGCACAGGCTGTGCCAGTATAGCCCTGGCCCTAACAAACCAGGAGCAGGCCTAGGGCGTGACTGAATCAGCAATGGCAGCAGCACCGGCAGCAGCAGGGGCTACTCCTGGAGCTATCAGCCTACAGACTGAATGTTTGAAAGTCACCTATTTCGATTTCCAGGAGCCAAGATGGTGG